TATATATATATATATATATATATAAATCACAATTGTGATTCGAAACAAAATTATAAAATACTTGAAAATGAAGAAGTCTCATTAAATATTGCTATATTTGATTGATTATAAAAAATTTATGTGCCAAATTTTCAAGCAAGTTTCAAAAGGAGGTTTCAAAATTGAAGGTGCAAATTATTCGATACTCTTTAAAAGACAAAAAAAAAAAAAATAAGTAGTTTAGATTTGTGAAGAAAGACATAACATGACAATGCAATACAAAGAAGCCAAAATTATAATTTTAATACCGCTAGGGCCTAGGGATCTAGCCAAAGATATATGACAAGGAATCTATCACAGAGGCTACATGTGAAGGAATGTAACAGTAAGAAAAATAAAAAAATAATTAAAAAAAACTACTTCCAAGACCGCTACTAGAAGAAATCTAACAACAAATAAAATAAAATAAATAAATAAATAAAAATATATATACATATAAAGAACTACTTCCAAAACTATTAAAAAAAATTGATGACTATTAAAAAAAATTGATGTTTTGTTGTCATCATTATCCTTATATTATTTAGAGCTTAAAATTTAGAATTTAGAAATAATGATAGTAATAGTAAGAATAATAGTAATAATAATAATAATAATAAAAAGTGATGAACAATAAGTGTTAATAGTTATAGAAACAACAATAATAAAAATTCTATAGAAGTATATTTATAATTAAATTTTAATTTGAATTAAACTTAAATATACTTATAGTCTTTGTAAAAAAAAAAAATTTGTTTTTATTTTTATAAAACTAAAACTATTATTTTTTGTTCTTATATTTATGTGATTATTTTTAACTACTTTTTATTTATTAAAAAGTTAAGTAATCATCTTAAGTGTTATGTAAAACAATTGCTGATATCATATCAATATTTAAAACCTCTAAAAAAATTATAAGTCTTTAAAATTGATGTTATTTATCTATCTTAAAATGATTATTTTGGACTAAAAATAGTTAGTTTAATTTTTAGAAAGATGAAAATTAAAGAAAAATATTTTACAGAAATCAAAATTTAATCATTTTATAAGGATAAAAATGATGTTTATAAAATTTAGAAGGATGAAAAACAAAGAAAATTTTTTAAAGGGATCAAAATCAAAATCATCAATTTTATAAGGACTAAAAATATATTTAAACCTCTGAATTATTAATTATTTATATCTATAATCAAAAGGTTATTATTTATTTTTCTTATTTTTCATAATAAGACATGCTCTCAATTAATACTCTCTATATATAGAGAGATCTCTATATATATAATATATAGAGAGAGAGGAGCATCCAAACGATATTAGTACAACTTTTTATTAATTATTACACCACGTAATAACTTTTAACTAAATGTGAATTTTATCGATCCACCCATTGAATTATAAAGTCATATCACCTTGTATGTGTATATCAAACTTTGTTAAAATTGAACAATAATTTAAATGTAAATAAAGTGTTCATATTTTATTATATTTTAAAATGTTTATATTACATCAATTTTGTTTTATAAGAATGAGATGTTAAATTATCTTGGATTAAAATAAAATTTTGTATATATAATTTAAGAATGAGGAACTTTTAATCTAATGACAAATTTTAAAAAATTCATATTTAATTGAAAGCTATTGAACAGTATAATAGTCATTAATGTCATTTAAACTTTCTTTATATACACTAGCAGGGTCGAGTCACTTCATGCCTCTATATGTATTTTATTTTAGAATTTAAAATAATTTATTTATAAAATTTTAAATTAGTTGTATTTTTGTGTTATATATATATTGATTTATTTATTTATTATAGAAATTATGAACATAATTTCATGCTAAAAAATGAATAAAATTGAGAAAATATTTAATGAGTAAACATAATTTAGATTAAAAAAATGACTAAACTTAATAATTTATTGTAGAATTTTTTTATAATATATTTTGTAAAAAACTCAAAAGAAATCCAATTTCCAAGTAATAAATAAAAATAACTGTAATATAGTTTTAAAATATTTTGAATAAATTTATTTGATTATAAGTTTTAAAATTAATTTTTGTAATTTTAAAACTATTAAAAAATAAATGAAATTCAAAATTCAAAATTAGGCATAATTTAAATTTTATTTTTTTAATAAGTTGAGAAAAATTAAATTCATTGTAAAAATAATGAAAATAAAAATAAAAATCATTGTAAAAAAGGACTAAACTTACATAACTTAGTTTTAAAAATGTCTAAATTTAATAATTTGATGTAGATTTGAAAGAAAATTTGTTGAAAAGAACTCAAAACAAATCAAATTTTCAATTAATAAATAAAAATAACTTTGATTTAGTTTTACAATGTTGATTAAACTTATTTTATTATAAATTTTAAAAGGAATTTTTAAAATTTAAAGCTATTGATAATAATTTAAAATTTAAAATTTAAAAATTAAAAATTAAAAATTAAAAATTAAAATACTATTTGGTCTTTTTATTAATGCAAAATTGAGAATCATTGTACAATACTGATTTCAAATAACTAGTATATTTTATTTTAGTTTTTCTTTAATTATATATCGCATAATCATATATTTTATCTTTATGTACAACATAATATTTCTAACATTCATATGGATGTGCATAAAAAAATATTAAAATTTATATTTTATTCCAAATAAGAAATAATGATTAAATTAAAACTAATAAATACAAATGTATACTAAAATTTTACATTATATCAAATTTTAATATTTTATTTAAGGGTGAACAAAATAGATTAAACTAAACTAAACTTATAAAAACTATACTAAATTTAAAAGTAGTTTATGTGAATTGAATTGTATATTAATTAGTTCAAATGAACTGAGCTAAATTATACTATAAAAATTTGAACTAAACTACAATTTAAATTGTATTAAACTATAATGCTACTTTGAATTGAACAATTTTGACTTGTTGATCCATCACACATTTTCAAACTTTATTTTATTTTACATTTTATTTAATTTTTTCATAAGAAAATATATGTAAAAAAAATAAAATCAAACAAACTTGGTGGATTTCAAACTAAAAAATTAGTTGACCAACATAACTTGATTGGCCTGTCAGGTCTAACAAAATTGACACATTTTTTTTTCAAAGCTTAGACCGTTGGATTAACGAACTAATCCATCAAATATAAAATATGTTAGACACATTTAATTTTTATACTTGCATAAAAATAATTCAATTTTTTATAGTTTAGTTTTTTTTTTTTGCAAATAGTTCAATTTTTTTTATAATGTAATTCAATTTAATTTACCACCAATTCAATTCAGTTCAATTTTTTTCTTGCTCTCCTCTAATTTTACCCAAAAATATTATAAACAAATACCATGGTTCTTATAATTCTCTCTAACATACGTTTTAGTCTCTTTAAGTGATGTTTTAAGTTTTTGCATCAGGAGATGTATTGTATTAGGATTTCAATGGATTCTAAAAGACTTTTTTTATTATAATTTTTTTTTGTAGTATTCAATCAAAACTTTTTTTTAATATAAAAAAAGCATGTAGCAATCAAGATTTTTTTAAGAGTCCATCAAAATTTAATATATTCCATTAAGCCAATAAAAAATCTGGTAGTATTCAATTAAGATTTTTTTTACTAAATTTTTTTTTGTTGATATTCAAAAATATAAATATTTTGATAAATTATTTTAAATATTAGATTTTGTGAGACATTTTAGTATAATTTACATGTAATTCACTCATCAAACAATCTTATCAAAATCTTTAAGATTTTGCATGACTTTTTTACCCCTCTATTTTTACTCTTTCTTTTTTTTTTGTCTTTCTTAAATATTTTCTCTCACCTTTCTTACTTCTCTCTCACATATTCTGTCTTTTTCTTCTCTCCTCTTTTACCATTCTTGTTTTTCTCTCTCTTCTACTTTTATTTATCTCATTTTCTCATTTTCTTTTTATTTATTTATCTCATTTGTTTCTTCTTCTTTGTTTCATTATTTTTTTCTCTCTCATTACTTCTCTTTCTCTTTCTCTTTCTTCTCTATATATATATATATATATATATATATATATATCTTTTATCATCTCTCTTATTTATCTCTTTTTGTTATACTCCTATATTTTTTTTTATCTACCAAATAGTTTATTAGTATTTATTTATTTTAATTATTTAATATTTAAAATGATTTTTGTATTATTAAATATTATCTATTGTTAAATTTTTTAAATCATTAAAATTTAACCGTTTATTTTGAATAAAATTTAATATTGAAATATAAAATTTTGATAAATAAATTAAAAAAAAATTTGTAAGTCATGATAATGACCCTCAAAATAAAAATGAAGTCTTAAATTTACATCATGTATTCTTAAAAAATGTGATTGAGAATATATTTAATATTTTTAATTTTCACTTAATAATTTTTAAGTTAAAATCTCTATTTCTATTTAAGACACAAATTGAACTTGTATTAACCTATAGTACTATATATCTTTCATCACAAAAAATGTCATTTTAACGAATAAATAAATGAATCTTCATCTTCAATACTACCAGTTGATTAAGATCGTAATTTTAAATATATTATTTAGATCCAAGTGTATAAAAGAGAATATATCAATATGTGAAAGACTAACTATTATAACTTTAGATATGTGAAGAAATGTTAGTTAAAAGAATATTAAAATTAATTATTTGTCAAAAGATAAAAAAAATTGTGTTTATTTTATTTTCTTTATTATTTATTATTATTTTTTATTAAATCTTGTAGTAATACAAATTCATGTTTCTGTATAAAGTCCATAAAATCTTTTAAAATTTTACGATATAAATTCACTAAAATCTAAATTATAAAATTTTGATTAAAATCCAACTTTTAAATTTTTTTTAGAAAAAATTCTAAAAATCATGATACTCATGCAAAATCTATTAAATTCTACAAGACTTTTTTAAATTAAAATTGTCTTTCAAAATCCAAATTCAATACACACCTTAATTTTATGTCAATTCATCACTGCCATAAAATTTTAAATTTTTATAGCCATTTTATATCGCCAAAACAATTTCTCTAATGTATGTCACAGGATCCAAACTTAACTTTCATAAATATTAAATACATTGGGACCAAGTATTTTTAAATTTTTAGACTAAAACTTACAGTTTCTTCGTAAAAGGGATCAAAACTTAAACTGAATATAACTATTATTCAAATGATAAGTTTAACCTAATAATAACAATAATTTTCACGTCTAATGAGATATTGAACTTTTAGTATTCACGAAATCTACTAGTGTTTCTAGAGCCTCGCCATATACCGGTCAAAACAGGTTATTGAAAAACCGCCAAAGGCATTTCCCATTGCAAATATATAGAACTGTACAACATATTAACATCATATAATGTTGAAATCTTGCCACCCCCAGTTTAAAGCTTTTAAATAGCTTCTAACCTAAAATGTAATACAGTTTGTCCTCCCGTCCCCACAAAAAGAAAAAAAAGAAAGAAAGAAAAAAACTTTTCAACCAAATCCGAATCCCTCATTTGCTTCATGAATGGCAAGCAGTAACCTCTCTTCCAAATGTTGTTTAGATGGATACTCGGGCAAATCTAATTGATTGAAACTGCATAAAGAAGACTCCGTGTTACTTCAAGACGTGATAATATTGATCCATCAAGTGATGAAATATAGCCAAGAAACCAAACATAAATTTGAATGAAAAAGAAACATGTTGATGAAGATAAAATAAACTGAAAAGTAATAAATAAAAAAAAAGTTACCATGTATGAGCAGAAGGCAAGTGATCAGAACTTCCATATGCCTTGTGTATCTGAAACCTCTGGGCACCTGAAATTCCTTGAAGAGCGCTAAAACCCTCCAAAGGCACCTGAAATGTAGGTAGCAAAAATCAGACCCCCTAATTATATATACATGTTCTAATAGCTCTATGTCTACAAAAGCAAGGAACCAACATCACTCGATTATTATAAGCCTATTCAGTGAATAGCATTCACACCTCAGAAATTAGATCACTAAATTAATAGTTCTCATAAAAGTATCTTTGAGTTTACAAAGTCAGCTAATACTCTCGCTTATGTTCTCGTGGAAACTAATCTATCAGTAATTTGCCTTTCGGGATTTGCTGCATTAAAATCTTAGGCTTCGCGACCTTTCAGATTCATGCATAGTGCTCATCACTTGTACTTGGGGAAATACATTAGTATTACGCTTGCAAAAATAAAATGTAGATAATTCTGAAATGTGTGTATATATGAAATCTGCCGAGTGTTTGGAATAAATTGAACTCGGGAGACTTGACTATCTCAATTTTGTAAGACTTGACTCTTGATGTTTGGAATAAATTGAACCACAGAAACTGGGAGCAATTGAATGTTGCTAGCATTTAATTGAATTCGTCTCATGCATTCAAACACCAAGGTATTGGGCACAAGAGAGAATAATTCCAATATGAAGGAAAAAGCAGCGAAGTAACGGCAAGTCAACATGGAAAATCACTTAAAAATATTGTAATATCGCTAATAAAAGATATACAGATCAAAAGCTTAAACTTAAAACTCTGAAAGTGAAAGCAATATACCTTGGATGTGCCCGTCACAAACTGCAGCAGTCTAGCTTTGTCTTCTTTGCTGAAACCTTGAACAACCTCCCAAAACCATTGGATAACTGGTGATGCATTACTATATCCAGAATATTCTGTATTTGCTCTCAAGTCATCCACTGAAATGAAATGTAGAACTGATTGTTAAATTTTCTTTTACAGTGTTTGAAAGCTTGTAACGATGGCCAGCATTGCGAGCAAATGAATATGTATGGCATCAATAAAGGTAATGTAAAATAATGAAAAGAACTCACAATCAATATCAGGAAGTCCACTGATCAATAGTTCCAGCTCTTTGTCATGGAATATAGATATTAACTCCCTGGGAATTAATTCAGTGAACCCTTCCAAGAAAGCATTTATTTGAGGTCGAATGGCAGTGGTCAACCGATGCTCAGCAACCAAATCAACATATTGGTGCTTATTCTCCTCCGTAACTTTAGTATTTCGTCCACCAGGAATCAACTCATAATCAGTCACCTAGACATGTTCACCAAAATTACGCACTAAACAATGTGCAATCCAATACGTTAATATAATCTAAATAGTTTTGAAGTGAAGTCAGTACCTCAGTCCGTTCATACAAGATCAACTTTTCCTCATCTGCATCAATGCTAAATGTAAGATCCAGAACATCACTGATATCGTTCTGCAGCCAACCCAAAAACATGAGAATTTTCACAATGAACACGAAGATGACTATAGTGAATACTGGAAAGGCTAATGGGAAACTACAAAATACACTTGCCTCAAGCATCCATTTCAAATTTCTGAAATAGCCAGGATCAATGGCTTCAATATCATGATATGTAACTTTTGCCCCAAGGATGTGCTTGTAGAATGACCGAGTAAAATGGACATCCAAAAGCTGACCATCAAATAATGCTTTTCCAACCTGAATAAGGTAGAAAGGGTTAAGAAAAAAAGCATATATAACCAACGGCATACATTAAGAACATTTGTAAAAGAACTCACCACTCTGCCAACAAATTTGAAATAAGATAGATGTTCTGTTTGGTAAACAGAGTTAGGGTTAGGCTGAAATGTTGATTCATTGCCTACTGTAGTAAATAGCAGTGCCCCTTTGTCAAAAATAACTCTAGACAACAATTGATACCATTCCCTTGTAAGCCCACCTGCATCGATACCTTCTTCCCCTTGGAAATGAACAGTCAACCTTCCCTTCAAATCTTGGGTTGATCTCATGCGAAGCTGGTTATATGAATCTTCTAGAACATAAGCCCTTCTTACTGATATTCTTAATGGGCTGTGGTGATGGTCATGCTGATGTTTAATCTTTGATCGAAAGTGGGAACGCTTGTTATCAAAATCAATAAATCTTGGAATCTTCAGCATGAGGGAAAAAGATTTCTCAAGCAAGCCAGGATTTTGCCTAACAAAAGCATTTAATAGTTTCCTATGCTTCTCTGAAAACTTAGCAAAAGCAGCATGTTTCTCATCTACTACTTTCACGGAAGGCCCAGATGTTTTAAGCCAGGAACCAGATGTGCTGGCATCTTCAACATCAGAAATAGCAGGAACACTTGTGTCATTACTAGCACCTGACTGTGCATGATGCAGCTTCTCACAAACCACAAAAAAAGATTCTATGTATGGTAAGATATTTTGAGAACCAGCTGGAAGTGGAGGCATGACACTGGATGGTTTGGACAAAGATGTTCTAGAAGGGGTAATAAACTCAGTCACTGACTCATAGTAGGCTTCAATCTTGCTTATACAACAGCTCAGCTCATGCCACAAGGGCTCTAATGCTGAATTGATTCCCCAAACTTCAGAAAGAGCTGGAGTTATTCTATCATTCTCTTTCTCAGCCAATGAGGTGACAAGGGAACTCAACGCTTGCAAAACTCTCAAGATTGCAGCACCATCAGAAGATGTTGTATTGAGAAGAGCTTTCATTGCTTCACTGAAAGTGCGTAATTCATCCATTGCAGATGAAGTCAAGTTTCGAACTGCTTCAGCTAGATGAGTGACAAAAAGCTGACAGTGAATTGGAGCAATAGCCACCAATTTTTTCATTACCTCGGCAACAAGACCATATGCATTGTCTGACAAACTGGAAGGAATGCAAGAAACATCAGATGAAGTCCACATTGCTAAATTCTACAACAATGTTTTTAGAACAATAAAGGCCAAACCCATGATTTTAAATTGTGGAGTAATAATTATAAAAAAAATAAAAATGGCACAAATATCAAAATCCAAGTAATGAAATGAGTTAATTGAAAATTAGAACTTCAAATGCCAGGAAACTTGTGACTCTTGCCACTCTCCCAAAATAAGGAGTTTAAATATCACAATTAGATACACCAAATCAAGGCACTGTGACAAAGTTAGGACCTCATGCCAAGAAACTTTTGACTCTTCCCACTCCCCCAAAGCAAAGAGATTAGTTATGATAATTAAATATACCAAATCAAGGCATACTGACAAAACCCAGACAAAAGAATTAACATAATCTACAAGCATAAGCCAATAATCATACCCTTCTAGAGCAAGCAATGAGCAAAGGAGCTGAAGTTCTGCTTGGGGCAGATCACACAATACTTGCTGAGCCTGACATTCCTTATTACTGGAAAGTGCAAGTTTGGAGGATTCATTGACTTGAGGAGATGCTTGAAGACCAGAAGATATAACTGAATCTGTATTCACATCTGCCTCCATCGCAGAAATTTGTGGACCCAATACCGGCTCAGTAGATATCTGGGACTTGTCAGGTGAACTAGACTTGCTTCCAGCACTATCGATGATAACATCCAGCAAATTTAGCAACTGAAAACAGAAAATCATGTCAGCACTCTTCGCAAGTACACAAAGTTGAATGTGTTAAAGATATCAATAAAAACAACTCATCACCTGCTCAAGATGAGCTATACTCCTCGAATAAAGGGGCTGTTTCAAGAGACCTAAAAGCATTGCAATGGATATGTATCCTGCATTTATTTCATCCCCAATGACCACAGCTTTTCCACGTGCAACATCAGCATTATCTAGTTCTCTTGATGCAGGGTGATGCAGCCTAAACTGAAGCAAAATTTTTGCCACAAATGGATGATGACGAGCTAGATAGGTGAGAGTCTCAAGTATTCGCCGAGAGAGTAACGGGGGAACTCCTAAGTCATCAAACAAATATAGAAGGTATAAATAATTATTTACCGTTATACATTGAGAGGCCAATAACATCTTCTAAATAATATCAATGGCCACTAGTGAAAACAAGCTTGAAGAATAAGAAAACAGAAGTCCCGTTTAGAATTTAAAACCAGGAAGATGAATTTAAACAGTGCACTGAATAAATTCATAACTGCCAATAACCACAAGGTACAAAATAAAGATTAATCAAGTTTTCTTACCATCAAAAGATTGAGGACGTGAGTACATTACATTGCTCTGGCAACCATATAGTCTGTATGGAGGTTCAACTGCACTAAAATAACTGGCCGGCTTTCTCACATCAAGCATTAGTAAGTCCATCAGAATTTTCACCAGAGAAATTCTGGTTTCACTATGGGCACAAAGATTCAAAAGAAGCCTCTGCAATTGACCTTTATATAGTGGCTGCAAAATTAAAAATATAAATATAAACAATGAAGTTGTGCTTATTATGAAGAACTTCTTCCCAGTGTCTATTACAAGTAGTACCTGAACTATGCGAAATAACCGAATAAGGGCATGCAAAGCTTCGGTGTCAACTAGAGGTGCTCCATCAGCTTCAACAACCTTAGCTCCAGCAGATCTACGTGAAGTGATGCTTCCCCCTGCACCATCCAGGCCAGAACCAATACCTTCACGTCTAGAAGTCTCACCTCTACGGCTTCTGGGATACATACCAAAGAGGGTACGACTGTATCGATGTGCAAACCTCTCCCTCAACATATTTGCCTCAGCAACAAGGGCAGGTGTAAGGTTGGCAAGGATAGCATCAGAAGATGTTAATAGAACCTGAAGAAAACCATAAAAAAGAATTTTTCAGACATAAAGTTACTTTTTGTAAAACTGGACTCAACTAACAAACTTGCCTCTTCTCGTAATTCTGAAGGGAATGTTGCAATTATTGAGACAGTATCCATTTCAACAGGTTGACCTTCCAACTCCTGAGATTGATGCAGCCTCTGTGCTTGCTGTTGAGCTAGAACTTCTGCTCGAATATCCGGGGGAAGAGCTGCAAGGAATTCTGGATCAATATCCCCATTGTTTTGAGACTCAGCATTTGATGGTTGAGCCACTTGACCCTGCTGAGCTGAGAGGACTTCAGCACGCAGCTCCTCAGGAAGAGCATCCAGAAAGGCAGGGTCAATTGCTCCTGATCCAGCATCACTGTTCACCTGCTGCTCAGCTGCTGGTCCATCTTGATCTGCATCTCGGCTCGAATTTTCAGAAACTTCAGTAACGCTGTGGAGTGATGCATCTCTGCCACCTACTGGAGAAGAATGACCAAGAGGCACAGTTGCTCTTCTTGTGCGAGCAGCCTGTGAATCACCTGCTGCTGCTATCCTATCTGCAGAAACCTGCCTTTCTCCACCATCATCGTGACCATCAGCACTTCCAATCTCAACATCTAGGCTCCGAAGGCTTTCACCAAAAGTTGCCCCACTACCACTACTCTCCTGGCTCACAGCTTCAACATCCCGCACAGTTGCATCATTATGCTCAAACTGCATCTCAACTGCCGGAGAGTGACTGCTTGATACATCTGCTTGCAGAGTTCCATTTCCTACAGGTCTGATATCAGAATTGTTGTCAGCATTATCTATTGATGCAGCAGTCACATTACCATCTTCCTGAATAGCATTACTTTCAACAGGAATGTCCAGCCTTGAACCTCCTGAATTGTGCATCTGGCTGACCTCATCTTTATTTTGATGACCTGCATCTGCTATATTATTATCAGATGATTTCTCAGCTGTAGGTCGCCTTAATTGAGAGACAAGCAACTCCTCAAGGCCCTGTGGTACAACACCGGTGTGTGACCCACTGCTATGTTGGGTATTATCACTCCATAAGTTCAAACGGTGTCCATGACGTCCACTCCTCAGTGATCGAAAGATATTATCCAAGCCTGTTGAGCTCTCTGTTATACTATCTGGAAATAAGAAAAAAAAATAATACAAAAAAGTGTCATTGTTGTAAATAAAGAATAAAGAAAAAATATTGTAATAAAAATCAACAAGAAATTGATAAAAGAACTGACCTGACTGACCAGTGGATGGGTGAAATGAGGAAGAAGGATCAACTAAAAGTGGATGGCGGGAAGGAGCAGCATTATCACCACCTCTGCCCAAAAGGCTGTAAATAGAGGTGGTCCGCCCTGGACGTCTGGATCCAAAAACTTCAACTGGCATCACATGAAGAGATTCATTTGGAAAACTATTGTCTCTTCCAAAAACCTCAATATGGTCAAAAACATTAATTCCATTGATGCCCTCCTCAAGTCTCAGTATAACCCCATCTTCATCATCCTCATCCTCATCCTCCTCCTCTTCCATCACTTCATCAAAATCATCATCATCAATCTCATGATCATCGTGATCAGTGTCGGGATGTGGCAAGTGATGGACTTCATCTTCCAAATCATTATGTTCCTCATCATCTTCGTCATCTTCATCTACATCTTCACCATCATCTCCAGACATATCACCCTCATCATCTTCGTCGAGATTCTCTTGTCCATTGGATTGAATTTCAAACTGTAGCCCCACATTTTCAATTCCATTATCACGGCCTCTGGCATCCTCACCAGTTTCATGCATGTACTCATCTTCGTTAGCAGGAGCAAAGCCCTCATCAAGATCATGATCATGTTCCATATCATCAATAACAGCTTCAGACCCACCATAAGACTGAAGCACATTGTAAGACCCAACATGGTCAACTTGAAGGGAATTGTGATTGGCCTGAGATGTTTCCATGGACTGAGACATGTGACCAATATTATCTGTTCTTCCAGATTGACTGGGATCAGAAGGCTTTGTTTGATCACCCTTTCCTGCACTCAATTCAACTGAATGAACATGCTCCTTGGTTACTAATTCAAGAGCTTTGATAATACTAGTAGCAACTTTAGACGAGTCAGCATGGTCCAAGTCCAGAACTTGGAGGGTACGAGTAAAAGATTTAACAAGACCAGCATCCATAAAAGTGACAGAGGCTTCTGCTGAGATGCTTGAGCCAGCAGGTGTGCGAGCAGCCAAAACATCATTGAGTAGATCAACAAAAACCTGAATTTCATTGCCTGGTGGCTTTGGCTTAACACCATTACATGAATCAACAAATTCATTTATGATATGGCTAATCTCGGTAAAAACCCTCCTCCTTGCCTCTGAAGAACGAACACAAGCAGCTACTATAAACTGATTTGCCCTGGTTGCTAGTTTCTGCCTCCAATCACCATCAACTTTCTTGTCCTTTTTGGAATTTCGGGAATAAGGAAGAAAATTCCGAAGAATATGGTAGAATATTCCTCCCACACCAAAACTAGCATGACTCTTTTGATAAATGCCCCTAGTGCTGCTCATTTCAACATCCCTTCGAAGCAGAACATGAACAGACAATGAATACATCAACAATATCTCCATCAAAAGCTTCAAAATAAACACTATCTTTGCAAGTGATGCAGATGCATCCTCACTGCTGGTTTCATTCCCCTCAGACACAGTTGCAACTGCTTTTCCTTTCCCCCTAACTGTAGAAACATCAATGTCCATGTCACTTGATGTTGGGGAGCCTGGGACTACATTTGAGGCATTGTCATCCTTCAAAGGGGGGGCAACAAATGTACATATAGATTCAAGAAGAAGTTCAATCACATTAACAAAACTTTGAGTAGGTTTTTTGAAACTTTTGACATTCTTCGGGTTTGAATCATGAAGCTTTACATGAACATTCCCAGATGTGGCTGTGCTTGTACCTCCCAAACCAACCTTTCCATCCTTATTATGTGCTTTGTCTTTCTCTAATGATTTATCCTTCTCCTTTTCTTTCTCCTTGGATTTCTCTTTATCCCGTTATTTATTTTATCGATGTTCAATTGAGTATTTTCTGTTTTCAAGAATGGTGTGCGTCTTTTACATTGAATTCTTTAGATTCTTGAAATGTCAGAATCCAGTGCTAATTAGTGAGTGGAATGATCTTTGACGGAGCTAATTCAATTCTTTGGAATTTATCCATGATCAGTGAGCTGAAGAAGGGACGGTTGAAGTTAGAGTAAGAAATTTTTGCTGGTGATTTTCTCGCGTTCTTTTTGTTCAGTAAGTGTTTTTCACTTGTTTTATTCTGTCATCTGATTTTTGTCTCAAATTCTTGATTTCTTCTTCTTCTTCTTCTTTCTTTTCGATGTTCAATTGAGTATTTTCTGTTTTCAAGAATGGCGTGCGTCTTTTACATTGAATTCTTTAGATTCTTGAAATGTCAGAATCCAGTGTTAATTAGTGAGTGGAATGATCTTTGACGGAGCTAATTCAATTCTTTGGAATTTATGCATGATTAGTGAACTGAAGAAGGGACGGTCGAAGTTAGAGTGAGAAATTTTGCTGGTAATTTTCTCAAGTTCTTTTTGTTAAGCAAGTGTTTTTCACTTGTTTTATTCTGTCATCAGTAGTTATTGTGCAACACTCAACTAGATTGTGTAAACTCACTGCTGATTATTGGTTTCTTTGAGCTAGAAAATTAGTCTCACGAGAGTGATGGGTGGAACTGTTAATTGGTTCTTGAAGTCTCAACGCTGAGAAAATTTTGGTGAGGAAGGATGAATATCGTTAAGGGTGTTGCTGACCTTATCCGAAGAACCTCTACTGGGAATACCGGAGAATCTTCAAGCTTCCAAGGTCAAAAGTTCTCTCCTCCTGGGCCCAGGATTCGCTTTAGGTAACAATATATATATATATATATATATATATATATATAT